CTACTAGTAACAAGTGCCACGCTACTATTCTAATAGCTTTTTGTTACTACTAGTAAGGCACCTGTTACTACTAGCGTGGCACTTGTTACTAGTAGAAACAAGAAGCTAGTGGAAACGTCGTTTGCTTTTGGAAACGCGTTCTGACTCTCAAAGGTCCGATCGACAAGTGGGACGCTCACTGTACCGATCTTCCAGAAACCAGATGGTGCAAGGCCAGACATGACAAAAAACGAAAGAAGAAACACAGAAGTCTTGTGGACACATCTCAACATGTCTTGACTATCTTGACTTTCTCAACATGTTTTTCAGGTACTACACGTCTCCTTTAACTTCGAAGCGTGTCGCTATACCGTGAGCAGAGAGCAATAATTTTCCTGGCACTTACTGCAACTTCGGCTTGTACCGTTAGACAGGCAGTATTCACCTGAAACTGTTGGAGACGTGTTTATAAAACATTACTAAAGGAATGTCGAAGCCTCCTTTGCAGTGGCCAAAACAATAGCGCTGCGGCATCGCAAAAAAGTCAAGAGACCGAGACCTTAATACAGAGAAGGCCAGGCAGATTGCTCTTGCCCAGACTCTTTCAACCTGTGCAGACTTATATACTTTCCTCTGGGAAAGGGGATTACAGTGAGGGGACATCTGTGGACAAATTCTCCAGGGACTTAGGGTGGACTCTCCACTTGACAGAAACGAATGCATTAGAGCTCAGCTTCTTTTGTTAGCCGAGTGCATTTTGATGCGTTTTTTCTTGGCCTGCCTTTGCCACCGGTTGCAACCTCAAAAGCAGGCCCTACCCCTACCCTGCATGTTCGAAGGACTTTATGCAACATCTCTTGCGGGTGTCTGCTTTTCGGCCTTTGCTACCTCTCCTCTTAGCAACACTTTCCTACCCTTCACGCTTTGGAAACACCGTCAGCGCCTCCTGGTTCTCAGAGTCAAACGTTATATTTTCAAGAAACATGCCGCACATCAAATCAAGACAACATTACATTGCATGGGTTATGCCTAGAGTTGCTTCGAGGCCAAGGTAACTTAGACCGCATAGAAGGCATGGCGAACGGACGCGGAACAGATCCGACAGTTCGATATCTTGCTAAGGCCGCAGGCTGTATGAAATGGAAGTTTAGAAATTAGTACGAGTCATACAGAATGATATTATATATATATATTTTATATGTCACATACACACACATTGAGTACTTACAAAGCAGCTGAAGACGGTACATTGTGACATAGAATCATTTGACGGGTGATTACACGGAAGTAATTGCTGCAGTGTGGAGCTGTGAACGCGTGGCCTTTACGTTACTTTAAATCATACCTGAAAGACAGAAAGTAAGAAGAACGGTCTAAAGGTCTAAAGAAAAGAAGGACACCACACACATGGCATTGATACTTGCTATTAGAATTCACAGTGCCTTTCTGCAGCCTCGGATTCTTACCGTGAAAGCAGCTACAACAATAGGGAACCGATGGCAGATCCTGCGGCAGCCTTAAGAATGCTACAGTGCTTTGCAAGGACCTAAGGAATTCCAGTCAGATAATGGTAACAAGTGCATCGCTACTAGTAGCATGGGCATTACTACTAGTAACAGGGCTATCGCTATTATATAGTAGCTATAAGCTACTAGTAACAAGTGCATCGCTAGGGTCAGGGGATTCTGGAGTAGAACAGTGCGAAACGACACGCTGAGGCACCGCGACTGAGAGGCTGGACATGGGAAGGGGCCGAGTTGTCAATGTATTACATGTATCAAGTGGATTCTCTAGTAGTAACAAGTAGCTTCAAGGGCATCACTACTAGTAACAAGGTGCCGTACTACTAGTAGCTATTGCGTTTGCAGGTCTTCAACCGTAGCCTCGATTGGATCAACGTATGACTTCAGCAAGGCATACCATTCCATGACCAATCCACACACTCAAAACCTTTGAAATTGTGGAGAATGAGAAAGTGTAAAGTCGACAGGTTGGACTCCAAAAGCTTTACCGAAAAGTGTAAGAACCCCGCGCTGACTTGTCATGAGTTGACGCTGCGTCACAAACTGGAAACCAAACTCAATAAACTTGTGAACATATTCTTTGATGCTGGGAGACCCTTTGACAGCTTTTGATTTGGCATCATTCTATCAACTTGTTTTCCGCAATGGATGATGCCAAAGCGGCAGCCGACGGGATTTTGGACTCCCTGAGACAGTTGGTGACTCTCGGCAAAGCACGACGACACAAGGAACAATGAAAGGCCGGCTTTTTTGATTTGCCAAAGGGCAGAGACTGCATATAGAATCCTCACGAATGTCGGTAGACACTGGAAAATAGGGCGAGGAACGATAAGAACTAGACCGAAAGAGCAACAAGGATTGGGCAATGGACATTTGGGTAAATGGTATCAATTAGTGCCAAAAGCGCCAACGTTGCCAATGGCGTTTCGTTGGCCGTTAGGTGCAAGGCCATGTAAGGCATGTAAGGCCTAATGTCTTGGATTCCATCTCAATACGAATGCAGCGGACGCACTCCACAAATTAGGCACGGACGCACTTGCAAGATCTTGAGAGGTTTTCCTTCTCTAGCAGGATGGAGGCCATCTTCATTAGTTTATTTTTGCTATTAGGTTGGAGGCCAAGGGCCATTGCTATTAGTTTTGAGTTTCCTTAATTGCACTTATATAATTGCCCTTTGTTTGGCTTTCATCTACTCACGGCCCTAGGCCCTTAAGACTTGGACTTGACTACTGGAAAAGACATTAACTGTGAATCAATGACATAGATGTTCTCTTAAAAACCTTAGGTTACCTTGAGTCCATCGAAATGCCATCGAATGCTCAAAACCACTGTCTACAGATGTCTACAGAATTTCTTCGACTTCTTGCATTTTTGACGTTCCTGAGGAATGCTATGGCATCACTGGTGCCAAGTAGCGCTGGCCGTACTTGTGCCACTGACGCTGTGGATGCACGATCTCTGCCGGCTTTGACCAAGGACAACAATCTGAACACTTTGCTCGCTGTCATTTGCTGTCTAATCCACAGTTTTTCTTCAGAATGGGATCGCATCTGAGCATGGACAAGTGGGTGACAGGTGTCTAATAGTGTCCAGTATGTTTCATTCTTCCTATGCACAGGCCTTGAGGCGGCTCTGGTTTGAGACACACCTTGAGGCCTTTGGTTCACTGCTTTGCTTGATTTGGAGTGAATTGTAGCTTCGTCTTTTGAACACATTTAACAAAGGGAGATCTTTGGTCAGGCAACCGAGGACTGGTGCGAAGAGAAGCAGGCCATTTGGCTTAGTTGCTTGGCTCACACGTCTCACAACACCTGGAGCTTCAATGTAATTGGTCAGTGTTGCAGCTGGAAAGCTGAGCAAAAACAAGTTCGTGCACGTTTGCTCAAGATGACTCCCTCCAACTATTCAACTCCAAATCCGAAAGTTTGTTGTGTAGCAGAAACAATCAAATTTGGTTGCTTCATTGCTTCATGTTGCTTCCAACGTCTTTTCTGGCGGCTAGACGTACTTGAAGAATCTTGAGGTGAATCAAGTAGCGTGGCACTTGTTACTAGTAGCGATGCACTTGTTACTAGTAGCGAACCTCAAATATCGGCGAAAGACTTGAGAACGTCCGAAGGATCCCTCGAGCGATGGCCTCCAACCTAGGGCAATGACCTTCAACCAACCTAATAGGGATGGCCTCCAACCTAGAATCACTTAAGACAACGCCCGGCTTCACCGTACATCTCACACCTCAGATGCAGAAAAGGGTCAAAAAAGGTCAAAAAGATCCTCCGGACAAAGCAGCATCTTGCTGTTTTGACCTCTGCTCCGCTTTGCATCTTGCTTTGTCTAGGTCAATTGCTGCTGATTTTGGCTGGGTCCAGAGAAGCTGTGCTCTCCTTCTATGCTGCAGGCTTGTTACTGTGGCCCAGCTTAGCGTTTTCAGGGTAAAGGTGACAACGTTGCACCGAGGTTACAAGCATTGCACTACCCTTGCACTGAGTTTTCTTCTGTGTTTTCTTTCGAGATATTTCGTGAAAGCCTGCAAGTGAACATCAGACTTGATCAGAATCGCTATGAACCGCTATGAATCACTGAACGGGCATCCAAGGTGCAATTCCTTGCTGTGCTTTGCGAAGGTTTTGTATCCCCATGTGGCCCAGCTGCATCAGTTGGTGGTGTTCAACTGTTCTTTTTCGTGTTAAACCAGGAAATGGGCCGTAGGAGGCCATCGCTAGTAGGTTGGAGGCCATCGCCAGGATACCATTGGCCAAGGAGCAGTTCTCTCGCGGCTAGTCTTTGTTACTAGTAGCTTCTTGTTCCTAGTAGTAAGGCCAGGAGCCCCTAGTAGCGTTTTTGTTCCTAGTAGCGATGCCCTGTATTACTATGTAACACATTCCACATCTGATGTGAGTTCTGTGATGTTCCGACCGATACTATTCGGTACTCGATCCGTGCAAACGATCCAGTTGTGTCTTTCCATGCCCGCCAGGTGGGCATGGAGCCCGACGAGGCCTGGTGCCAAGGCCTTGCCGCTGTCCAGACAGCTCTAGAAAGTATCCTGGCTGCCCAAATGCTAGAGAACCAAAGTTTCATGAATGTGAAGTCATGCTTGAGCCCCTAGTAGCGTCCTTGTTCCTATAGTAGCGATGCCAGGAACCCCTAGTAGCTTCTTGTTCATGACTCCAAAAATCATGCTTATTGGACTGCCAAGCCAGCGCTAAGGGGACTTCCAAGAGGAACTCCAATACCTACCCGCAGACCACCTCGGTGGGAGCAAGCGTGATGCCATTGTCTCAACAAACCGATCCTTGGAATGTTGGCACTTGCACTGCACACAAGAGCATGTTTGATCCTGATTCCACGGTTGCAAGCTGATTTTTTTGGATGTCCTGCATTGCGACTTGGACGCCCTCCCTCAAGTTCTGCATAGTCTAGTTGTTTGTCCAACAATCACCAAACCCGGAGAACTTCTCAGCGAGAGTCGTATGTGTGTATATATTATAGTTTTATATAGTTATAAGTTAAGTTATATACATGATTATATATATAGAATGAATGATACAGGCCACATTCAATATTAATTCTCTTTTTTCTCTGTCCAAGATGGAAAGGCCCCAATCGGTATCACGTACCATCTCAATGACAAACATCGCCTTTTAAATCTGGTCCCAGTGGACCGTCAGGACGTCGGGAATTAAGACGGATGATTTGTTCCTAGTAGCGTCCTCTTGCTCCTAGTAGCGATGCCAGGAGCCCTTAGTAGCGTCCTTGCTCCTAGTAGTAAGGCCAGGAGCCCCTAGTAGCTTCTTGTTCCTAGTCAGGATTGAGACTCAGATTGGATTTGTCAGGATTGCCTGCTCTCTTCCGACGGATGTTTGACCTCGAAGGGCACAAGTTGACGCCAGCACAGTGCCTTTGAAGGAACTCTGACAGGAGTTTTGACATCAAGTGTGCTGCAGTATTCAATATGCCAGAAGGGCAACATTGTACCTGCAAAACATGACATTGCTGCTGGTGTGACTCTGATGGCCTTTTATTGCCGTATGGGTTTCTTTGCTTGTATGCGATCAAGCCAAGCTGAACAGGAAAGGTGGACTGGCTGTGGCACTTGTGGTACCTGGAACTGGACTGATAACAGCCGGGGGCATTGGTACAGCTTTACTGCTGCGAAAGGCAGCGGGCGGGACCCGCGTTTGGACTTACTTGTGTTTATTTGCTGATTCTAAGCAGTCGAAATCAGTCGAGCAAACGTGGTGTATGCTTGCAATTCGGAAACATGTGCAAGCGATCGTATGCTGAAACTCTCCGGAAGACCCACTGGAAGACCCTTATTCCATTTGAGCTTGCTCGTGTCAAGGTATGATCTCTTAGGATTTCCCTGGGTTTGAAGCTGTCACAACCACTGTGGCGGACCGCAGATGGCTAGCGAAAAGAATTAGAATGCTTTCCGAAAGGATTGAATGTTTGCATGGAAGTCTTGAAGCTGTGCGGATGATGTGGCCCCTTTTCCTGGGGCTCCAATAGGATGTTCCCCTGGAAAGCCGACATGTATCTGGTTTGTATCATTTTTTATCCCTCAAGCCAGAGACGCTAAAAAGTGCAAACACACTCTTTGCTGGTGGAAGTTGTTGGAACAAATGCCCTGGAAGTCACCCGGATTGCGAATGCTTGGAGCAGACAGTAAGGCGAACAGAGCGCCATCTATTGCAAGATCCCACTTTGCTCCGACACGTTGATCGCTTGCCATGACACAAAACACGGGAAATTGAAGAAAAGGACAGGTAGGACGTGAGCTATCCTGCGTCCAGTAGGTAGGTAGGTGCCTACTTAATTAAGGGAGGGCAATGGGCCTAAAAATGGTTCAAACAAGTGTCATAAAACACCCTTTGCCGCTGGTTCAAAGCATTCCCAAGCTGTGACCAGGCCCGCCAGGCTGGATCAGAAGATGACCCACTGGAGCGCCTCTTTACAAAGTGCTTGGAGGAGGCAGACAGCTTGACCTTTGCTATGCTTGGCTTCTTACAAAATGGACATTTGTTCATTTCATATCGTTGTCAAATTTGATAGCAATAGTCTTCAGCCTGCCTTTCAAAGCATCTCCAGGCTAAAATTGCAATTCGTCGCAAGTTAAATCCAATTGAATCTCGGCTAGGCTTGCTGAGAGCAAGTCCAATCGTTAGACTTGTCCTTTGTCGATTTAGGACATATATGTGATGTGTGTTAGCCACATCCAATGCGGCAGACACCCTTGCTACGCAACACACTTGAGGAAGGAAGGAATGCAACGGTGGGGATTCATCCATGATCCCGCCTTTCAGTCCCTTTTCTTTTTTTACCACTGCGTAGGCAGTTTGAGCGCAGCCAAGCCTAGCCCTGTTTACAAGGGAAACGGAGAGCTCGTCATGTCATCAACTCACAGCACCACATAATATCACACATACTTAAAAGGCATATATGTTCTTTTTCAATGACTGATAAAAGAAGTCCTAGAAGAAGAACAAAGAGATGAAACAAAGAGATGAAAGCCGGCAAGATAAAACCTCTTTAAAGGGGGAGCACAAACCCTTTTGCATCATCCCTTTTGCATCCCTTTTGCATCGACTTCTTTCACTCACCAAATCTAAGGAAGTGACATACCTGCATGGCGCAGCAAAAGGCCCCTCCAAGGTGAAAGTGTGTGTCCAAGCACAAGAGCTACTTGGACAATTGAGACTCACCAATGAATTTACTTTCAATAACAAAGATGAAGCGATGGCCTCCAACCTAATAGCAATGTCCAGAGACTCTCCACGATTTTCCTTTCAAGAACACAATGGGAAGACCTCTTTTTTGGTGGGGTGGGGGCACTGGGCATCGTAACATTTTGTGACGGCACACAGAAGGTCAGCTTCCTTAATGGGAAGGACTAAATTATGGTACCAAGGTCACAGAAAAAGGACAGAGAGAAGGTCTTCCTCAGATTAAATCCACGTCGAATCTAGATGAAAACAGAAAAGAGAGTTTCCTTGAAGAAGCTTCGCAGTAGACAACGAGATGAAGGTTTGCATTTATAGGTCTGGGACCCTACCAGCGGCTACTCCATGCGACCTTGAACAACAAGCATCTTACTCGTATGATTGTCGCGGGAACAGAACCTTGAACCTTCGTTTTTCTTCAATTCTGCATCTTATTACTTACAAAAAACCGTTGTTCTACAAACAAGAACGCGAACCGTACCACCTTCCGCATTGAGACTTCTCTAGTTTTCCATTTGCCACAGCGTCCCAGGTCCCTGGTTCCACATGTGCTGCACAGCTGCAAGATGCAAAGCGTTGCGAAGTTGAACACAACAAGTCGTGGATCTCGGGTCTCGAGTATCAATGAACAGCCTGCAACTAGGAAGCGTTCATCATATCCTGAGGCCATTGGGAAGCCTTGGACAGCACGGGGCCCCTTGGTTGCAACCCTGAAACCATCGACAAGCACGTACAGATGGAAGAAGTGAACTGTTGCATCAGACAATGCGCCATGAGGTGAACACTGCGATTCTGGAGTTGGGGCAAAGCTGCCAACTGCGACCAACTGGATCCGATGTCATCATTCTGCGGGCACACGGGTGAATGCGGGTTGGACAAGACTTTGCAAGAAAAGGCTTGTTCAAATAGACTGCAACAGAGCAGATTGACAGGGGGACTTGAAACAGGGCTCCATCAAAGCTTGCCATGAAGCAACTAATCGCAAGAGTTGTGAACACCAAGCCTTTGGCTAGCAGGCTAAAGTTATCTAAAGTTAAGAGGCTGGTTGGACTTGGAGATGTTTTGGTTTGCTTTCTACCTTGGTTCGATTCAGTGCCCCCACACCCTCTCTATGCTGAGAGCAGAAGTAGGTAACTAGGCAAACTACGGAAAGTTGGAACCAGAAAATCATAATGGATGAGCAAAAACACGTTATTGTTTCATTTTCTTTCCACAACCGTTGACATTGATTTCCATTTCCTACTACCATGAGCATATTTGCTAGGGCCTTGGGGGCAAAAAAAGGCAACGAGTGCCTTCGTTGCCTGCGCAGGTCTTTCGGCCTTCCCTCATCAATGAGCCCATACATGAGGCTGTTGAGGCCATCGCTATTAGGTTGGAGGCGGCAAAAAATTGTGTTCTACTGTACTTTGTTTTGCCGTTGAGGTTTGGCGTGGTGCGAAGGTGATCTTAGTTCCCAACGAGGACGGCCTGGTGAAGTGCTATGTGCGGAATCTGGGACCCAATGACTATCCAGATCATTTCAGATCTATGAATTAGTACAACATGATGTTTGTAACAAATTTGGAATAACAATCTCACGAAAAGTTGGTTTGGAAGAATTTTCCAGAGAGGCTCTTGTGCTTTGAATCGCCCAGGAAGGAAAGGACTTCGACAAAGACCGGAGCTTCGCCCAGTGGATATGCTGATGGGACGCACTAACCAAGCATCATGCAGGACTAGACTAGACACAGCAAGTTTGCGGAGGGTGCGCAATTGCAGCAGACCATTGCTTTTGGTGAAGCATCCCAAGTGTGGCTATCCAGTTATTCCTGACTAGAAAGGGGCGAGTTGTCCATTGGCTCATTGTGAGCCCAAAGAAGGACTCAAAATGACTTTTGTGGAGAGGACTCCAGTCAAACTTCTATGTCCTATTTGGACATTGGGTGAGAGAAGCGTCCAAAGGTCTACAAACCTCTCAGCCATTTTCCACAGCATAATGCTGGCTTGCAAGATCATAAACATGAACACCGCGTGCGCTGCGAGTCTGCGAAGGAAACAAATCAAAGCCACTGAAGCTACGAACGGGGCTCCTGGCCTTACTACTAGGAGCAAGGACGCTACTAGGGGCTCCTGGCATCGCTACTAGGAGCATTCTTACTACTAGTAACAAGAAGCTACTAACCTCTGATGAAACCGATGGCCCTTTATGGCCCTATGAAGAAAAGCTTAGGGGGTTGGAAGGAGTCGACTTAGTCAAAGGCCCCCCTCCTGGCTGAATCTGCTGGTTGTATAATTTTTGTCATTTCGATAATTTTGAATCTCGATTCTTTTGAGGTACTTGTAGCAGACCACTAGTGTGGAAATAACCCCAATAGTTTGAGGGGTCTCAATAAATTGCATCGCTAACCGCTAACCCGTTGGTTCAAGGCACCAGCCTCTGCAAACGACCGCCTCAGTTGAGGCACTGAACCCCTTCATAGAGTTCGTGCCCAGAATTGGGCGAGCGAGAATTGGCTTTTGGCGCCACTCGCGTGTTTGGGAATTTTGGGTCAATGGCTCATGACTGATAGCAAGTGTAGTAGCAAGTCAAATCCCCCAAACGAAGCACAGCAGAGACAGAAGACACAGCACTGCCAAAAAACAAGTGAGAATACTTTGATATCGAGATCCGGCGCTAGTAGACTCTTTTTCGCAGACTCTTTCATGGATCTTCGCTCACGTGGCCACCGTAGGCAGTTATGGACATGAAGGCGACTCTGGGGATACCAACGGATTCCAAGTATGAACGAACCGAGTTGACACCTTTCTGAGAAATCGAATTGAATGAACTATTTTGCCATTAGGGTGGAGGCCATCGCTATTAGGTTGGAGGCCATGGCTATTATTATGTTGGAAGGCAATGGCTATTAGATTGGAGACAATTTCTAGTAGGTTGGAGGCCATCGCTAGCAGGTTGGAGGCCATGGCTATTATGTTAGAGGCCATCTAGTAGGTTGGAGGCCATGTAGTAGGTTGGAGGCCATTGCTAGTAGGTTGGGGGCCATCGCTATTAAGGTCATCGCTATTGGGTTGGAGGCCGTCGCGATCAGGTTGGAGGTCATCGCTATTGGGTTGGAGGCCATCACTATTAGGTCTCAGGGCCTCACTATTAGGTTGGAGGCCATCGCTAATAGGTTGGAGGGCCATCGCTATTAGGTTGGAGGCCATTGCTAGCAGGTTGGAGGCCATCGCCGATCGCTAGTTGGTTGGAGATCATCGCTAGTAGGTTGGAGGCCATCGCTAGTAGGTTGGAGGCCATCGCTATTAGGTTGGAAGCCGTCGCTATGAGGTTGGAGGCCATCGCTATGAGGTTGGAGGCCATTGCCGTCAGGTTGGAGGTCACCGCTATCAGGTTGGAGGCCATCACTATTGATGTTGGAACTTGATTCGTAAAGGGCCCCCCTCAAACAAATGGAGGATCCTCTTTAATAAACTACCACCAAAACAAATCTGGGTTCCTAGGAGGATTCCTTTTGTAGTTGATTGTAGTATTCATTTTCCTTTTTCTGCTTGTTTGTAATCAGATATTCTCAGCAATACTATTTTTCCTTTTCATTAGGTATTCTTTGGCATCCTTTCATACTACTACATAAAGGATTGATTAGGGAATTGATGGCTTTGGGAAGCTGTGAGTTTTGAAGAAGAGCTATAGAAACCTATACTTATCAATACTCTCAGGCAGCCAATCATTGGCTTAGTAGTATTAAGAACTACTATGTCTATTTTTCTAAAGGAAATATAACCAACCCTAAATATGTCCCCAACAATTAGCATAATAGAGGACCCTTAAAACAAACAGGGCGTCAAGAATTATTTTTCAACATTCAGCATTATAGAGGGCTCTATTACTAATCAGCATCCAACATTAGGGTGGAAGGCTATCGCTGTTAGGTTGGGGGCCATCGCTATCAGGTTGGAGGCCATCGCCATCGCTAGTAGGTTGAAGGCCATCGCTAA